ACTTATAGTGCGATAATATTTTAATAACTGCAGGTATATTTAATGAATACAACTCCTTATTTTCTTTCCCTCTAACAACTCACTAGGGCCAGCGACCGCTTTGAAAAGCACTGCCATAGACGACGTCCTTGCCGCGCGGCAAGATATGCGTGACAAAAATCGGGAAAGCAATCGAGGCTTGTCGAGCAGCGCCGCTCGATTCCCGTTCACCCGTTCGCGCGACACCTTCGTGCAACCGGCAAACGAAACCCGGCACTTTTCCAGACCGGCCGTGTACGAACCGGCTAAAAAGTGCAACCGATAGGCTTAAAGTCCCAACGAGGTAATCTACATCGTTCCGCTCGGCGCGTTAATGGATTCCCTTTCAATTTCTATCGGGAATCACGAATACCGGTGAAGCGAGGCGGGCGGCCGCGGCCGAGATGGTAACGGACAAGGCGGAAACCGCACACGATCTCATCACGAGAATCCTCACGGAGGAGAAAGAGACCAGTGCGAATGCATTAGAATGCGTCGCGTGCCGGCGCAAAACACATTTCACTGGTACACGCTCGGCAAGAGAGATGCGCAATCGAATCGATCGCTTTCGTCTCGGTGGAGGCACAAGCCTGTCACTGATCAGCAGCGTCACTTTTCTCGCCGTTACTTCCTCTCTCTCGAGTAACGCTTACCAAAATTTACCGTACATTACGCAAAAAAAAAAAAAACTAACAATAGATACTTTCGATAAAATAAAAAAGTCTTCTTTGAGTGAGTCTTGTCTAGCAAAAGTTTTTTTTCAACATCCTCGACTTAAATGTATCGTACTCATGGAAAAATCGGTATTCCTTTCAGAGAATTCAATTTTTTTTTCGCGTGCGATAATCAATGGACTATCTTCCAACGTTTGTCTTACGTGCAATACGTTAAAAATAGACGGAAGATGTAAAACTCTATCGATTGAATAACCGCCACGGTCGAGCTGTTATCAATAACTAGGATCTTTAACCGAATCGCCGGCTTTCTCGCGCAGTCGCGCGCCCGTCTTTTCCTATTTCCCATCAACGACGACGTCGCGGTAGACGGGCCATCCGTGCACCCGGGGGAAAGTGTTCCAGTATGTGTGACGGTTTGCTACTCGGGATCACGCCGATGAATACACAACATCGTCACACCTGTCCCGCCATGACGAATCCTTTCGACACGCTCGGGCCCACGGACAAACGTGGCGAGCTTCCGCGTTTGCGCGCGCGCGACTCATCGTCGGCGCTTAATAAGATCTGAAGGACGGCGAACAATTGAGATTGCTACCGGAGGTACAGCGCGGTCGTATTTGGCCTGTCGCGAGTGCCTGCAGCCTGCAGCTAATTAAAAACATTAATCGAAGGCGCGCACCCGCGAGTGCCGTGCCGCGCTACTATTGTAATTAGCGTCGCACGAACGGATGTGATTCCTATAATCTCGCGTAATTGTTATTGATCGATCAATCAATTAAACAGCAATCATTAAATTGTATCATTAATGGCCAATAACGTGACGATATAAACGATTCAAAGAAACAAGTTTTGAAAACAACCAATAACTTGGTTGAAAGTATTCGGCAAATATTCATTCAACATTATTTTAGTAAAATTGAAATAAACGATTCAAATGACAATAAGAAATTTTAAATAAATTCTTTTTGAAAGCAGTTTTGAAACAGTTGATTCTTTTTGAAACAGTTGATAAATAATTCTATAGGTAATAAATAAATAATTGTCAAGCTCTGTGTAATGTAATATTGAGAAGGTTATACGGAAGGTTACATGAAACGAATAATAACTTATAAACAAGATGTAAAATTAATAAATAATAATAAATTTAATATCAAAGATAAATAGAATGATTACACAGGATTTTCTTCAGCTATTCGATATTATTGTGATAATTTAATTATTATCGTAATGTTAAAAAATATATAATTAAAGAATTAATAACTTAATACTGTGAATTAAATAAATATAAATTAATGATGTAAAACTGTGAAAGCGTCACAATCAATGATAAGAGGCTATATCAAAGCTATCACACTTATACATACAAAATAAGAGTGTAAGTCGAGATTTATGATTTTCTAGAAATATGATCAGATAAAAGTCAAAATTAATATCCAAGCAGTGAATGAAAAATCTCTTTAGTGATTTTTAAAGTAAAATTTATGTTCAGTCTACAAGTAAAATTGTGTAACGAAATTTATCGTTTAGAAGCGAACACTTTTTTTAAAAAAAAACTCTTTGATTATTGAAATCTGTAATTTTTTTGACAAAAAAGAAACACTTTTTTTTAAATTGTTGTACGTACAGATATTGTTATAAAAAATTTGTTTTAAAGTTTACAACCAAAATGATAAAGACCTTACATAGATATCAAGGATTTGTTGTGTATAAATCTATAAATTTTTACATGTATGCAATCCAATATAATCGGATAAATATAAGACTTACTGTCTTTCTACTGTTCCTACCGACTGTGTGTGTATTGCGAAAAATATTCTCGCAAATAATTCTATAGAAAATTAACTATGTATAGTATCTTATCATCGGTGCTGGAAGGTCACTTAATTGTTAAGAAATGATAAGAATGCACACGTGCCGTAAAAAAATTATTATATATGCTGCAGTTGTGAAAATATGCAAAAAAATACAGTTTACGTAAGAATAAAAACTGTAAAATGGTTGTGCGCGCTTGTCTTCAATGATTTATAATTTTACCATAATTTCGAATTTTTGAAATCTTTAGGAATGTTTTTAACGCGTCTACTATACCAATCGGGTAAGCTATCATATTTGATTACTGCATGGAAAGAATTTTTTATAATTTACCCTGCAAATCATGTCAATTGTGGGACAATATAGTATTTAGGCAAATTTTACTGTGCACTACAATTTTACTGTATTTTACTACTGTAAAATTTATTATAGTGCACAGTAAAATTTGCCTAAATATTATATTGTCCCACAATTAACATGATTTGCAGGGTAAATTTAAAAAAAATTCTCTCCGTGTGGTACACATTACACATTTAATTAATCCAATAAATTTCCATTATTATATGTATATATAAGAGTAATTAAGCTTAAATGATTGGAGTAAACTCTATTTCATGATTTAGTAAGCTCATCAATTCAGGAACTTATTTTCTGAACAGAGGAACGCTATTTATATACATCACATAAAACTAACTAATACTTTTAATAAAAATCTGAAAGAGAATGACTGTACATTTTAAATAATATAAGATAAATAATTATCATGTTTGATATTACACAGCATTCATGCGAAATGAATAGCAATCATGGTTCAATGTTAAGCGGTGTAATGTTCAAGTTAATCAAACTGACTGAAAAAGTGACGCCCTTTTTACACAGCTAGTCGCCGCGGAATTAGGCAGTTGTCAACCGACAGTGCCGATCGAAAGTCGGTCGCATTTTCGCAAGCGCGAAATACCAGCATGGTACTGACTATAGAAAGGGAAGTGCCAAGGTAAGGCAATCTAAGAGCCAGTGAATCGTTGCTCATTGCCAAGGTACGTCAAGGTACCTGAAGCCTGGGTGTGCCGGGACGATTATAATCGAAATAGTCTTGAATACGCGGGCGAAATCGAAAGGCAGAAGAAGGAAAGTGTGCAAGTCCCGATATTGCACAGCACGTACCGATGACTGCGCCGCGTCGTATCGCAATGCATGCGCGTTGGAGCACACATATATACGCTAAACGGTGCGATATGCGGTCGGCCAAAAGAGCCTTGAGTGGATTCCACCGTGGCGTTCACCACGTATCTACTCCGATAAATACTTCACTTTATTACTTTATTTATTATAATAGACATCTTGTCTGTTCCGCCTTTTTTCAAATTTAATTGTCGATCATTCGATATTCTTTAAACACACGAAATGAAATACTATATGTATAATGACTTTGGCGAAAGTAATTGTCATAATATGTATATTGTCATATTATTTACATATTATTTTTTATTACATGTCTTTTTCTCTAAAAGGATATAACATACATTATATGTAAGTCGTTTAAATGCAAGGAAACGCTCAGGACTTTCTATATCTTGTAAAATGTTGTATCGTAACTTAGCTAGCCTACATCTGCCCATCTGTGGTTTTAGCAATCGTTTATTCTACCATTCCTACTGTGGACAGAACGGTAATATTAACGCCACATGACGTTACGTATTGGCGTTCGCCAATTTTCACCTCGACCTTGTCCATGCATTAGAGTTCCTCATCGGTTTTTCCCACGTGAATAAAATCATGTTGCGGAAGTCGCGCGTTTCCCTGTGGGTCTTTCATAAGAATAAGCGTGCAACGCCCATATAATTTCGCTCGGCCGTAACGAAACGCAGACAAACGGCAACGGGGCGATTTTGTGGTATCCTAGACCAGTTATACAGGAGAGATGCGGAAAGAGAGAATCCGGGAGAGAACCGAGCGAAGTCAGTGGAGTCAGCAGTGACGGCGACGGTGACGGCGGCGGCGGCGGCGGCGGCGGTCCGATCTTGGCTCGCTCGCACGCGAGAACCCCACCTAAAACCCCCTTCACCTTCGTCGACCGCGATCGGCGCGCGCGAACACGCGAAAGAGGGGAAAATTTCAACGTCACCGTTTCGCGAACTCGAGAAGTTCGTTACCGTCGCGCGCGGCGTCCGTCGGACTTGCCCGACAATAGTATCTACTCGCCGCCTTGGCAAAATCGGGGGACTTCGCCACCTACTATCTTGCCTACTACTACACCACCCGATCTCTATCCGCCACCTTTCCGCGTCTGTCTCTCTCTCTCTCTCTCTCTTTCTCTCTCCACCGAGAGTACACGTCCGCTGCCACCGCCGCCGTCGCCGATCTGAAAAGGAGGTGAACGCGCGCGAGAGAGTACCATTGGGCAAGGAATTGGGGCAGGAGCCAATGGTAAGGAGCGCGAGGTGGAGCGATAGGTTTTAAATAGGTGTGCAGGATCCGTGCGTGGATACGAGAGGAAAAGTCGGCGGTGACCGATACCGCGGTGGCACCGCTGGAATTAAAATTCGGGTGATAAGAGTGTTGGGGCCCATTGTGCGGCGGGTGGTAGATAGAGCACAACCTGCCCGGACACTTACTGAACTCCGTTCCGTTGTGGTGGTAGTTTTTCCCTACCCGAGAGGGATATACGCACGGGCCGCGGTGTGAAACGTACCGAGAGGAGTGACGGTCCTGCTGATAGAGCGGCGAGCACAAAGTACGTCTCAGTCGACGCTGAGCCAGCAGTGCGCTCAGCGGATCCGCTCGAGGCGGTAGAGAGTCCTGCGAGAGAGTCGCCTACGAGATCTCGCGTTTACACCGCCGTTTTCTCTCTTTCCTCTAAATTCAGTTACCCTCGGTTAAAAAGGACTCGGCGACCATGAGGTTCTACGGCGGCTACCGGGCACTCGTCCTGCTCGCGACAGTGCTCGCCCACATGACCGGCACGTTCGCCAAGCGCGACACACGCCAAACAGGAGCCAGCGGCAGGAGCGGTGAGTCATCTTCTTCGCTTTGGTTCTTTCTCTCTTTCCCTTCCTGCCTTCCGCCTTCAGCCACTTGCCCGTGTGTTCTCCTCTTCCGCCGTGATCCCTTCCACCTTCATCACGTTCGCGCGCCGCTCATTGCGGCTCCTTCGTCGTGCCATCTGCTTCTTCTTCTCCTTCGCGCGACCGACACTTCGCGCTGTCGAGCCCATCACGTATCTCGACCCCTTTTTTACAATTTATTCTTTCTCGGGCACCACGTGTGTCCTCTGGCATATTTTTATCGGTTCTACTTTCTTTTATTCTCCCTTTTCTCCTCGTTATTCCTTTTAGTTCTCTTAAATTGCTATTCCATTCTTTTATATTCTCTTTATATCTAAAAAAAAAAAATAAAAAAGATATGTTAGATAATATATTCTTTTTATTTTTTATTTTTGGAGATTAGAAAATTTTAATTTATCCTTTATCTCCTTCTGTCTTCTTTTCCTTTTTACTTATAGTTTCTTTCCTCTTTTCCTGATCAAGTAGATCATATCGTTTGACCTTCTTTTCTCTTTTATTTCTTATTTTTTCACTTTTTTTACGCTTTCTTTCTCTTCTTCCTTCTCACGCATTTACCTTCTTAGTAATTAACTTCCTGCTTACGCCGTGATTGTACCGAGTAATTCTCGATATGGTTGCATATCGATAAATAAAGTGAAGTGTTAGGTTGTGCAAAAATGCGTAGGAAGATGACGACAAGTACGCAAGTGATTCACGGTGCTGTGCTTATCGGACATTGATTCACGTGATGAGTTAAATATCCCGAGACAGAATATAATGAGGAATATAATGAAGCTAACGTAATCCAACGTGTTGTATAGTGTGCATGTGGTTTGCTGCATTATGTTGCACAAAGAAAATTGCAAGCAGTATTTTGACATACGTACGGCTTTCGTTACACCATCGATTTGCTTTTACACTGGGAAAATAGAGAGCGTTTTAATATTTTTGGCTTGTATTTTTTTAAAAAGTGGTAAAATCAGAGAAAATTAAATTAAATTTTAAATTAAATTTAAATTAAATTTTTTTTCCGTAAAATGACAAAGATATTCCATGTAAAGAAATAGTTATAATTCAATTGATGTGAAAAGTACACACATATATATATAAAACTGTACTTTTTACATAATATAATTACGATTCAACTAAGCTTTTTTGTATAATAGCATTACTCTTACGGAATCTTGATATATACCGCATATCTTGTTTCTTAGAGTGTCCTCCACGCAATAGCGGTACTTAGACCGAGAATTTATGACACTGAGCTTATGTACATAAGACGTTCAGTAGTGACAAAATAAATCTGTTAAATTTGTATAAAAATATTATATGCCATGACAGACATTTGTTGTTATAGATCTTAATACGTTTCCAATTAAATATACGTGCTTTTTTTTATCACAAAATGTACATCTCAAAGATAAAGAAAATTAAAAAAATGTTATAAAAGTTAGAATCATTATTTACAGAGTTACGGAGTTTTTATAATTATACCTAGGAATAGATCGAAATAAACTAAACGGATAGACTAACAATAAATGTAATCTTAAAGGCTATACGATTCATAAAATGTGATGATATCGCAAAATGTGATGATAATTTATAGCTCTTCTATTTTTCTTTATCTCTGTACGAAAAGAATCAGTAAATTTACTGAAACGCAAAATGGCACGTGTGACACGTAATGCTACACCGTTACGTCCACTAGCTTCGGCAAGCTGCCTTTGCTACTAAAGTCGGGGAATTATGACGACATGATTTCCAAGTTAAACAGCACTCGACATAGATTCGTTGAAAATGGCACTTCCGCGAAGATTCGGGTCGGTGGTCAATTTTCAAGCAGCGCCTTATTCTCCGTAAAGACCAATTTAGAGTTGGTAACTGTAAAATGTAACAGACGGCCCGCGATCGCCACCTATGAAAATAATTGCTGTGATTACAGTAAGCGTGACTAATCGCTATACGCAAGTGGCAATTATTTTTGTAACTCACAGCCGCTGCTGGCTTCTCGTATTCCAGCTGCGATTAATCCACATATCGTCCCTCTCCTCCAATGGACGTTTCATACCTGTACAAAGTTCTACTTTCGGTTTCTAACGCAATCGATCGTAAGGAATTTGACATGTCCTATATATAATACGAGGCTAGATAAGGCATCGATATTGCAGCCTTGCGTGACAATTGCAATTAACTGATAGAGATTGATGATGATGGGGAATGGCAGAGAGAAAGTAGCGAGTTCTTGCGCGCATCTTTAGTAAGACATGAATTCCAAACGCGTTTAATGTAGGGTGAAATGGCAACCATTGTGTTAGCAGCACCGAGAAAATAATTTTGTATATTAGACAGTTTTTAAAATAAATAGCCATTTTGGTTGTAATTTGTCGCTCGCTTAATAGTACTGAAAAAGGAGGTAATTAGCTTCAGTCACATTAAGATTATCAAAATTACCATTCTATTCTAAGTTCTAGTTTTAGAACTTTACTTCAAAAGTAAAGTTCTAAAACTAGAAATAAGCGTACTGTCAAGATATAAAAAAAAATTAATTTTTATTCAGCGTCTTTTATTGATTATTAAAAAATCACGAAAGGGAAACTGTAAGGAAAAGTAAAGAGACGCCATCGTTTTTTAGTTCGAATCAGATCTTACGCGAAATTCCCGCGACCCTTCGACATGTATCGGGATTTGATCGAGAAAAAAATGTATTCGAGAGTTTGGTGAGTTCGCCGAGAACAAAATCGTGACCGAAATACATCGATTCTCTCCCTCGAGCCGTCGGCGTAATTCGTTACTTCGTTATCGGTCCGCTCCTTTCTACGATTAAGCGCAGCGCGTTTATCTCGCACTTTGACTGAATAGAACAGCGCGGATTGATTCGCCAGCGGTCCATACATCTTAAATTGGCCGATCTCGATTACTGCGAAACGTGAACGAACGAACGCTCCCAATCTACGAGTCCGGGCGCGTTTTCGTCCTGCGAAACGTTCGTCCGATGTATCGAAGTTTTTTAATTATGCTGTCGCTGCGTAATAACTTTTACTCGTAAATCAAAGATTTTCTTGGCACCCATTAAAGTTTCTTGGATATCTCAATTCCGGAATGGAAACCTCAGTACCCTACTGACGCATAAACTTTCGAAATTTTTGCGACTTTCAAAAAATTTCGTTTTGAAGTTAATTCAACATTCATTTCTCGCGCACGTAAGACTTACGGTTGCGTATGTCCGCGATTTGATGTTACTTAAATGAAAATTTTGCTATGAGAAAAGTACTGTAATATTGCAAAAAATGTATATATAAGTACATGAATATATAGATATAAATGAATGCGTGATAATTACTCATTTTAACACGTAAGGATTGAATAAATCGAATGCGAGTTTTTGCTGCGTTGCTGCGAACTGAATCGGAAATCGCTCTTCGTTTTGGTGCCTCTATTACTGCTTCCCAGATTTGGAAACGTGTACCATGAACCTCTCGAATGCGTTCGATTGCTATCGGGGCCTTTGAAACAAGTTCGGCGCGTGGAATTGCGAGTGTTTTCTTAGCGTAGCGCCTTCGTCGTTGGCATTGCCACCAGAAATGGCTTTTCAACGAGCGACTGGCGGCATGCCAGTGCATATAACAGTTCACCGTGGACTGGCTAAGCAACTTGCTCACCTACATGCAGCAGCCGTTCACACGCCGCCGGGATCCTTCCGCTCGCGCCTTCGTTATCGTCTTACATCTCCGCTGCCGAATGATTGTCAGCACGTACGGCGAAATCGGTCACTGTCTCCAGATCGAATTGCCTAATCACATAAAAATCAATTTAAAAATATTTCCCACGTATGAGCATGAGCAAAATTTTACATATATCATGTAATTTTATTCTATCTTACATTTATTAAACAATTATTATTTACTATGAAAAATTGCATTAATAGATACAAGCACATCCCATATGATTCATGTAAAAAAATTAATTGTCATAACTGAAATTTATGAAGCAGATAAAATTAAGAAAAAGATTGTCTGTTTTGAATTAATTAAAAAATGTTTTTTTTTCTTAATGAAATAGTAAGTATTTATTTCTTGGTTTATTTTAAGTGCATTTTAATCGAATTTATAAACTTGACAGTAAATTATTAACATATTTGTCAGTAATTAAACCGTAAGAGTGAAAAGTGTAAAACCGAGTCATTAATTCACAGACCGGTTTTTCCCGATAGATATTCGTAAGCCACTCTTCTGGTGTAACTTGTATGAGAGACTTCTTCCCCGCTATATAAACGTCTAAAAAAATTTATGTTAGAAGTTGAGAGAAGCCGCAAGTGAAATTGATCATTTCGCAGAAAAATACATTTAATCGTACTTTTTCAGATAACTAATTACCGGACTAACTAGTCAAACTTTCTTTCTTTTTAAAGAAAAAGAAACAAATTTTAGCTTAAACTTGTCTTGCGAGAAAGAAAAGTAAAAATTTATTTTTCGCACCAAATGCATAGATATTAAAATATTTATTACATACACGTTTATAATACATAAAAAATCCATTGTATGTAAAGCAGATTTTTTGAAATACATCATTATTAGTATATTTTCTTTTTATTTTCTCCCAGAACAACTGTGTATCAAAATTTTATATATAAATTGATAGAGTCTGGTGTTTTAAATAAATATTTCAACCTTGTGACATACGATACAACAAAATGTACACATGATTTTTTTTTATTTGAAACAGCATAGATATTAAAAAGAAAACAAATTTTTAGTAAATTGTAAATAGCCCAATCTCTCTCTCTCTCTCTCTCTCTCTCTCTCTCTCTCTCTCTTTGTTCTTCAATTCTTTTGTTTTAAAATATAAACCCGTTCCAATCACAAGCTTAGTTGACTTATTAGATCGTACATGTCCAAGTTGAAGTGCTTTCCTTAAAAGTATTTCAAGTAATTTCTTACGCTATGCGTTCTCAGCCAGACCACCCATTA